GCCTCGGCCGGGGCCCTTGGCCACCAGACAATCGCCGCCGGTCCCCGGCAGCCCGGACGACTCACCCCGTGCAGGTGGAAGCCCTCGGCGCCGCCCGCGGGCTGCTCGGCGCTGGCGCCCAGGCCCATAGCTGCGACTCCCCGGCGTGCGGCCGGCAGCTCAGCGCGGACTCGCTCTCTCGACGCTCGACTGCCCGCGCCTTGTCACGTGGCGCTGTGCCCCGCCCATCCGGACAATGCCTTGCTTAGCAACCGGCTGGCTGCCGGGTTTCCAAGGACGCGCGCGCCTCCGACTTCGGGCCGCGAGAGGAGGGCTCAGGACCCCGGACTCCGGCTCGGCGCTGCCCATCCAGACCTGATCTTGGCCGCGAGCGGCACGAGATGAGCAGCAGTGACTCCTCCCTCCTGGTGCGTGGCCCGGACTGTCTGACACTCCGCCCCCGGCCGAGTGACTCCCAGCCCTGCTGCTCCCCCGGCCACCTCTCTAGCTGTCCTCTGTGTCCCCAGCACCTCGGGAGACCTGCCCGATCTGGCCTTCCTACCCCAGAGGCGTGTCTTGCCTCTGGTACCTTACCGGCATCCTGGACCCCACATGAGCTTCTTCCTCCCCAACCTCTTGCACCCTGAGCTCCCTCAAAACAAATCATCCCGTCTCCATTATTTCCACCTCTTACCCCTGCCTGTGTGTTTTCTGCATCCCCCACCTCAGTAGATGCCACCACCATTTGAGAGTCTTAACCTCTTCCCCATACCCATCTCCCCGTCCTATCAAAGAGAAATGTCACCTAAATGATTCCAGGGTTCACGCACTTTTTATCTGCTAGCGCAGGACCACCGCCATCTCTCCCCTGGATGCCTGCAGTAGCCTCCCCCTGCTCTGGTTTCTCTGCTTCAGCTCTGTTGATCAGCATATCCCGTACCCCACACCTCCAGGAGCACACACCACCACCCCACAGCAGCCAGAGCGGTTTTTACAGAAACATATCTGAACCCATCCCTCCGCTACTTAAAACCGTCCCATCTGCTTCCTATTTATTACCTTTAAGTTGATGACTGGGTTCTTTCATATGACCCACAAAGCCTTTACAACCCAACCACATCTGTCCCAACCCCAATATCCACAAACCTTAGGGGAAGTGAGACTTGGCTTTGAATCTCTGCCCCTATTATTGCATGACCTTTGTCAAGCCAATGTCCATGGGCTTCAGCTTCCTTAACTGTGAAAGATACGGAGAAAATCATGCTTAAAATAATGGATTAAAGACCTTGATAACAGTTTCCAACAGGTGGTAAGCCCACGATAACTTGTACCTGGAACTATTGGTATAATTTTTATTACTGTTCTTTCTCCTTACTGCCCTGCTAAGACAAAACTGGAGCTGAATCCTGCATCACATTTTAACCAGAATCTGGTGGTAATTTCCAAACGAAGACCTACACACTTGTTCCTGGGGAAACTTCATGCAGCTATTCCCAGGGCTGCTAAAGGACTGGGTGAAACCTGAATGTTCCCTCTTTCTGTTCCTTTTACAAAGCCTTGGGAATGGGGGTGGAGAGATAAGGGAGCAGATCTCATCCCATCTGGGTCAGAACAGAGACAGGGAAGGACTTGGGGTATCACAACTGTGTCTTCCTCCACACAGGCTGGGATCATTTACTATAGCCAGGAAAAGTACTTCCGCCACGTGCAGCAGGCTGCAGCTGTGGGGCTGGAGAAATTCAGCAATGACCCCGTGCTGCAGTTCTTTAAGGCCTATGGACTCCTCAGGGAAGGTAAGGACATGGCACTGTTGGCATTCTGACCCCAGCAGTAACCCAGCTCTGGCTGCACCTGGATGCCTATTTGTATCTTAGTTACGCTGCATGGAAACTGTTTTACTGACTGTAATATAGATTAACCCACAGAAGCCTATGCAGTCCATATCTAACTGACCCTTGAGAACTCATCTCACTAATCTTGCTCTGTACCTCAGTTTCCCTCTATAAAGTGAGTGTCTGGAGAGAAGGCTACATGACTACTGAACTAATTCCAGGCTTGGAAGCTGTAGGCCAGTTGGTTGTGCAGGTAAAAAAGGGGCAAGTGGTAGGTGTAGGTACAAGCAGGTACCATGCAGATGCAGGAAGAGGATAGGGACCCGTGCAGTACTGACTCACCCACATCCAAAGGGTGCACTTGAGCTGCCTGTGACAGTGTTGGGAGACATAAGGGAAAGTGTCATTCATGACTCTTGAGCACCTAGCTGGAAATGCACACACACACACACACACACACACACACACACACACACACACACACGCACCCCAGTGCGTAGTCCCAGCCTCACAAGTATCCTCACAAGTATTTGAAGGCAAACCATTCAGCTGCAAGATGCCAGCCCATGATGCTAGCAGCACTTTCATGAGAAGGAAGCCAGTCTGCAGGGACCTTGAGCCACGGGGAGCCTGTCAGCCCAGTTAGTCCTCAGATCTGGGTAAAGGCAGGTGGTGCAAGCCTCGGGTCAGCCCTGGCAGGAATCTGTGTGTCACCAGAGTTTCCTGCCCTCTGGGCCTGGAACCTGAGAACACAACCACGTGGACTCTGCAGAGCGTGTCCAGGATGCCATCAGTGAGCTGGAGAACATCCGTGGTCACCCGGACCTGTCCCTGTGCTCCATCATGGCCCTGCTTTATGCTCACAGACACTGTGAAACCATTGGTGAGTGCAGCCTCTCTGAGCCAGGCCCTGCCCGGCAGAGCCACAGCCCCCAAGGCCGCTGATGGAGAGCGGTAAAGAGAAGCGGCTCCTCCCCCGGAGCCCCAAAGAGGACCAGTGCCAAGGCCCAGCGAGTGGGAGCCTGCAGAGAGCGTGCAGCATGAGGGCTTCTCCCTCCTGATCCCGAGAAGTGGGGAAGATCCTTCTTTCCTTTGCCAAAATCTGGTCAGAAAAATCAAGCCAATATCCATAATCTCACCCCTAATCTCCACATCTCTGGAATCAGGGAAAGGAGCCAAGAGAATGCACTTTCCCCACCCAGCATGGGCTGGAGGCCTGCGGCCAAGGATTCCCACTGGATCTGTCTGCTCAGCACACTGCTGGGGCACAAGGCGGAAAGGGCAAATCTCAGAGCAGACCTGCGTCCAGGCCCGGCAGTCCCTGTGGTGTCTCAGGGCAGGGATTGCTGGTGCGCAGGCCCTGGGATGGCCTGTAGTCAGCTGCACATGTGGAGGGTGAGCCAAAGTGTCCAGAACCGGCTCCCTGGGTCTGCGATGCCCTCTGCAGAAGCAGGGAAACCTCATCCTAATTCAGCCTCTCCCTGCACTCTTGGATTTACAGATAGAGAAGCGATTCAGGAGCTGGAGAGCAGCCTAAAGGAAGTCCGCAAGCTGGCCAGTGAGACTGCCCTCTACTATGCCAGCCTCTTCCTCTGGCTCATCGGCCGCTACGACAAGGCCAAGGAGTATGTTGACCACATGCTGAAGGTCTCCAGCAGCTCCAGAGAGGTACCCGCCGCCAGGGTACCTGACCATCCTGGGGCAGTGGCTGAAGACAGCAGCACTTCAGCATGTGTTGGGGTGGCCCATGACACCCACTGAGGGTGCTGGCATTGGGAGAGGGCAGCCCCAGGGTGGGCAGGGTGTACCCGTAGCCTTGAAACACAGTGACGTTTGTCCAGAATCCCATCCCCAGGTTTTCAGAGGTCTACATTATACTTTCAAAACAAATTTTGAGTTCATTGCTGACATCTAGAAATCAGAAGATTTTTACTTAACAGTTCACATCTCCTGGCTCTTTGAAAATCCAAATGAGCTGGTCCCAGTGGGCCATTCCCGCCTTGTGGTGGCCTGAGTGTGGCTCACACGTACAGTAGGTGTCATAGCCAGTGGGCCTGTGCTGACGCGGAATCCAAAGCTCTAGGCCATGCATTCTCAGCAGAGCTGGTATCCACTTTTCAAGGGTATAAACATTGGCTCTTTGGAAAGGGAATGAAAAAAATCATACTCTGTATGTGAAAAGCACAGATACACATACACAGTACATAACACCTAAATATGGCACATGTGTGATATTAAAATTTCTTAGAAGAGGAGATGTTGTCTTAAAAGGCCCTTGAGGGACAGGTAATGGAAAAAGAGGAACCTGCGTTAGGCAACTGAGGGATGGATTGCGGTAGGGGTCTTCCAAGTACTCCCTGGTCTACTTCCCAAGCCTGGCCTCTCTCTCTGCCCTGGGAAGCCGGAACCAACAAAGTCCACAGCTCAGAAAGGCTGCTGCTCAGCCCTGCGAAGGGCATGGCCAGGTCTCAGTGCAGCACCATGCCCAGGACTGGCGCCTGACCCCCGCAGAGTCGGCAGCAGCTGTGGGACAGGTGGGGGACCGGTTGGGGGGTAGAGGGCAGGGGCCACCCAGCTGTGCTATGGACCAGCACCAGTCGATCAGGTGAGGACCAGGCTGGGAGCAGGAGACTTGCTGCCAGGGTGCTGCAGGCAGGGGAGCAGCGCAAGGCAGGGCAGAGAGGGCGCTAGGCCGCCCCAGGATCTGTGTGCTTATGTCTGGCAGGCCAAGGATGGGGCTCGAGCAGGCTAGGTCAGGCCCACTCAGGGCCAAGGGCTCGTTCTCCCTCTTGCCTTCATCCCCAGGGCTATGTGCTCAAAGGCTGGGTGGACCTCACCTCAGAGAAGCCCCACCTTGTGAAGAAATCCATCAAGTACCTGGAGCAAGGCATTCAGAGCAACAAGGATGCGCTGGGGCTGATGGGAAAGGTGAGCAGAGGGGAGGTAAGAGTAGGGGGTCCAGAGCTGAGCCACTGGAGCCAGAGACCTCCAGACCCGATCCTCAGGGTCCAGCACCTCCTCTGATAGAGGAGGAGCAGAGGTCCAGAGTGAGTCAGCAGCCAGCCTGGGGTCACACCACAGCCTGGGTCTCTCCAGCTTTCACTGCCCTTCTGCTCCTTCCGCATGGAGGCCTTCTGGGTTCCCTCAGACTTCCTCTTTCTGGGCCTCCCCTGCTGCGCTTCTCTCCATATCTTTCCTTTTCCCATTTCACTGTCTGTCTGCCCATTGGTTCAAGTCCTACCATGGTCGTAAGAGAAGGGATAGATATATATTTGATGACGTTGTACATTTTTTTTTTTAAGGGCAGAATATATTTACTGAGGGAAAGAAAGCTTCTGTCCCAGAGAGGGACAGAAGGGGGCCCGAATGGTTTGCCTATTGTGCATTTTCTGACCTTAATTTAAATTAAGTTGCTCTTTTTTGACCCTCACTGAGTCAATCGAGAGGAAAATTGTTCTCTTACTCTTTTCTGTTTGTTCAACTCGTTGAAACCGAAGGCTAAGCACCCCGCTCCAATGCCAGCACACTAAGAGGCTGAGGCAGGACAACCACAAGTTCAAGCCCAGCCTGGGCCACTGAGCAACTTAGTTTCAGCCTTTCTCAAAATACAAAAGTAAAACGGGCTGGGGATGTAGCTCAGCATGAGGATGCGAGCTCCACCCCCCACCCCCAGTCTACACAGACATCCCAGAGTCCAAAGAGGAAGTAGAACAACCACCTTGATTCTGTCACTCCAAGCAGGGCGTGCTTGCGCTCTTGGGCGGCGTGGCCCAGGCTTGGGTCGGGGTGGCAGCAGGAGCCCGGAGATCTGTCAGGGGAGGCTTATCTGGGAGCACCCTTATGCCAGCGCCACGGATACAGAAGCTGGGCTGGGGGCAGTCACAGCAGAGGCCTCGGCCAGCTCCCTGGAAACCACGGAGGCAGGGTGGCCCTGCGGACTTGACGCTGGCTCTAGGCCATCCGGGAAAGGGTTGACCAGGCAAGGCTGCACTGTAACCCTGGGCCACTGCCCAAGCGCCATTCCACTGAGAGCCGTTCCATACATGGTATCCCTTATGGGGCAGGAGACAGTGTTGTCACTGGGTTTCTTCTTCTTGGTGTAAGCGGATGTTGCTGTGAACATTTACATAAAGCCAGTCCACAGCTGTCTGGCAGGATGTCATTCACCCACTTGGTGCCCTGTTGTCTCTCACTGACCCTGTGGAGAAAGCTGCAGAGAGCACACTGCACACCAAAATTTCTTCTCTGAGTGATCCTCTGTTTTTAGTTGCCATAGGGCTGAGCTAAACCATCTTCTCAGAACCCACTTTCAAGTCTGTTAGAGGCTGATGAGGCCAGAACCCCAGCCCAAGGGAGAAAGAACCTGCACAGCGAGACCCCAAGACCCACGAACCTTAACTGACTCCGAGTTGTAAACTGGGCCTCAGTGAGCAGTTTCTGGGGATGGAGTTCAGGAAAACAAAATCAAGAATGAATGGACAATTTTTGGAATCAAAAGATGCCGGTTGATCTCAGTTCTCCCCCAAGGGTTGACCTTCACAAGGCCTTGCCCCAACCAGGATGCTGAGCGGCCCATGCTCAGGGCTCAGGGAGCCCCCTTCCTCACCCACCCAGGAAGCCAACACAGTTGAGCCTGGTCACTGAGTGGTGCCTGCTTCCAGGGGCTCTGAGGACACCCAGGCCCTGCCGTGCAGATCCACAGGGCCCTGGGTCAGCCTCTGACCTCCAACCCGGGAGACACTGACCAAGGCTCCTCCTGGCTCCGGCAGGCGACCTACCTCATGATGCAGCAGAACTACTCGGGGGCCCTGGATGCAGTGAACCAGATCTCCACAGCCTCAGGGAGCTTCCTGCCAGCCTTGGTCCTGAAGATGCGGCTGTTCCTGGCTCAGCAGGACTGGGAGCAGATGATAGAAACGGCGTACAGGTGAGGGGTGGCGCTCGCTTGCCATGGTGATAATAAGATCGGAAGGTGAATCTCACCCGTGGAGAAGTTGCAGTAGTGCTGGGATTATACTGGGAGACAGAGGACCAGTGTAAGCAAGCCAACTGTCAACACGACAAGAGGCCAGGGAATGTGGCCTAAGATGAATAAATCAAGAAATAGAAATATAGACATATTGTTTAGAAGAGATATGGAGGAGCCAGGCACAGTGGTGCATACCTGTAGTCCCACTTATTCTGGAGGCTGAAGCAGGAGGATTGCAAGTTTGAGGCCAGCCTAGGCAACTTAATGAGAACCTGTCTCAAAATAAAAAAGGCTGGGATGTAGCTCAGTGCTAGAACACTTGCCCAGCGTGTGTGAAGCCCTGGGTTTCATCCCCAGTGCCACCAGAACAAAAAATTTCAGACAAAAGGCCACTGGTGACTCTAAGAAGAGTTTTAGTAGCAGGTAGGATGCTCGAGTGAGCCAGACAACAGAGAGGTCAGGACTTCAGGGAATTTACGGAAACCAGGCGCCCCGTGTAGGGTGACCTTGGAGCACTGGGAATTGAAACGGATACGGGGAGGGGTGTGTGCTGGAAGGCTTTCTGAGGAAAAACTTCCTGCAAAACTGAAGATTCTCTCTTTAAATTCTAGCACTCTGTTTTGATCATAGATTCTACACTGTATGGTCCTACTTTCCTTCCTAAAGAGATGGAGCAGGACTCGTCACTATGAATAGCTATTGAGTGGTAATGCAATACACAGCCCAGTTCGGGGAGAAAAATTGCTGAAATGCATGCAAACCCCCTCCTTCCCTGTGGAGGGGTGCTGACTCCTCTGGTGATAATGAGAGGGGGAGTTACAGAGGTGCTGGCGTGCACCCCTTCTTCTCTGCGGGTAGACCAGGCCCCCTGTAGCAGGAGCTTGCCCTGCACTTGGCCTTGAGCCCACAAATCACCTGCAGCACGTGGGCTGCAAGCCAGATGGGGGTGCGTCTCACTCTGGCCTTGTGTGCTTACATGCCAGGAGATAGCATCTGGTGCCAGCCAGTTGAGTCTAGTACCCCAGTGCCTGGCCCCATGAAATCCTGCTCCATTAGTGGTGGTGAGAGTTCTCTCATAGTGCTTTAAAACTCTATCTAGGTGTGTGTGTGAGCGCATGTGTGTTGTTGTTTCTGTACTAGAGATTGAACCCAGGACCTTTGCATTGAGCTACATTCCCATCCCTTTTTAAATTTTTATTTTGAGGGCGGGGGATATAGCTCAACAACACAAGTGCCTGCCTGGCAAGTGCAAGGTCCTGAGTTTAATTCCTAGTATAAATAAATAAATAAATAAATAAATAAATAAATAAATTTATTTTTTTTTTATTTTGAAATAGGATCTCACTGAGTCACTAATTTCCCCAGGATGGCCTCAAGCTTGTAGTCCTCTTGCTTCAGCCTCCCAGATGCATACCACCACACTCAGCAACATTTTCCTCCCCACTTCCCCCAGATGTCACACGCATCACTTATATCCCATTGGCCAGAACTTGGCCGTATGGTCACACCTCCGCTGCAGAGGGAGGCTGGGCAGGGTAGCCTGTGTACTGGGTACCATGTGCACGGCTAACTTGGGAGTTCTAGTGTTAAAAGAGGAATGGAGAATGAATATTAGGAGACAGTCAAAAGTTGCCAGTACCCTGTCCTAGCCTTGCCTAGTAAGACTCACATGGCTTCTCTTCCTATCTCAGAATCCTTGAAAAAGATGACAGCAATATTGATGCCTGCCAAATGCTAGTGGTCCACGAGCTTGTGAGAGAAGGAAACATGACCACAGTAAGTTGTTTCAGGACTCAGACGCTGAGATCCTCACAGCCCAAGCCCCAAGGCGGGCCTTGGGATGGTGCCCTTACGTCTTTTCCCTGTGCTATTCCTGCCAAGGAGCCCTGCTCTGGCTTGGCCCCTTGGGCAGAACAGCTGGAGAGAGAGATGAGGCAGCCACCAGCAGTGAGGTGGACACTGGTTCTACCACCTGCTGCCTATGGGAGCCTGCGCAGATGTTTGCATCTGGCCAAGCTTCAGCTGCCTCATTTGTCACACAGATGTAATTCCCCAGGGCTGTGAGGGTGGGAGAAGGACCGTGTGGGATGAGAAATAGGACAGTTTGGAGCAGTTCCTGGTACACTACAGTACTTCAGTCAGTGTTAACTGCTGGTAGAAATCATGGTAGTATTTCAGAATTTAGACAATTACCAGTTCTTTTTTGAGACAGGTCTTGCTATGCAGGCCAGGCAAAAACACACTTTTTTATATGCTTGCTATGTAGTCTGCAAGAGGACTACAAGTTTGAGACCATCCTGGGGAAATTAGTGACTCAGTGAGATCCTGTTTCAAAATAACAACCCCCCGGCCTCATTCGCTCGAGTCCTGCAATGATAGGCTCTTGCCACCATGGCCCGCTATGGGAAATGCCACTTTTTTAGGAAATGATTGGACTTGCTCAGGCAGTGACCAAGTATAACTGGCCCCGGACTTGTTCCTAAGCCTTATAGTTTTCCAAAGACACCTAAAATAGCCCTCAGATATGGTAAAAAAAAACCTCCAATTCTTAATAAAATGTCAGTACTCAGATTCTTCTTTTTGAAAAGGGTGTGTTTTTGCCTAAACATTGCTGTTTAAATAAAGAGGAGACATTGCCTTGTGGAGTGAGTGGCAAACCAAGAGCCTCTGACAGGTCCTGGGGGGGAGAGAAAGCCTCGGGTTCCCTCTGCACAGCGCTGAGGTGGTGGGTTTTGTGTGGAGAGTGAGATGAAGACCATCATCTGTATTCGCGGGGAACAAGAGGAAAGGCCGGCCTCACCTCCTAGGCCAGGCTTTCTGAGGCCTGGCCTGAGGCTCAGTCCCCAAGCAGAATTAGCATCAGATCCCATCCGTTCCGGGCACCTCAAACCCTGCGTCCTGTTCTCACCCCAACCCTGCTGCCCAGTTCTGGTCTAGCTCTGCCCTCACTTCCTGAGCAGAGTGGACCCCGCTGGCCTGGGCTCCTCCCTTGGCACATCTTTGCAGCTAGAACTTGGGATTCCCTGCTCCTGGATAGGGAGTCAGGCAGAGGAGTCCATGGAGAAGCAACCAAGCTTTGGAGTCAGTCATCCCCTGACCGGTCAGGTGACCTTGGACCAATTGCCCAACCTTTCTGACCCTTCATCTGCTGTCCTGGGAAGTTATTTTTTTTTGGGGGGGGGGTCTTTTTGAGACAAGGTCTCTCTATGTAGTTCAGGCTGGTCTCGAACTCACAACAATCCTCCTGCCTCAGCCTCCCAAGTGCTGGGGTTATAGGCGTGTGCCACCACGCCTGGCATGTCCTGGGAAGTTTGGACAATGACACTGACTTACAGGCTATTGGGAGGTTTCGCTAGAAGGACAAAGAGGCACCAGTGTGCTGACTCAAGGCAGAATGCAGGGAAGGCCTAGGTGGCCTGGCTGGCCCAGCTGGCCAGGTGGTTTGCTGCTAGCCTGATGAGCTACAGTGTGAGCGCACGGGGGCTTACTCTTCCCACTGCCCTGGTGGGTCTGACAGGACAGCTTTTCTCAGGGCCAGCTCTCAGGGGAATGATGCTCCCTAAGGCTCCACCTGAGGAGCCTTGAAAGAACTCTGAGGCCTGCGCTACGCCAGTTCAGTTAAACCTGAATCTCTTGGGATGACACCAGATAGCATGGGTAGTTTTTATAAAATCTCCCAGCTGATACAGATGTGCAGCCAGGGTCAAGAGCCACTGCCCAGCTCTGGTGTTACACACTGCCTTTGACTATTTCTTTTTCATCCTTGCAGGCAACTGATCATGTTAGAAATCTAATTAAGGCATTAGAGATGAGAGAGCCCCAAAATCCAAACCTCCAACTTAAGAAAGTTCTTGTGGTCAGCAGACTGGTAAGAAGGCATCCCCTGGTGTGGGCTTCTCTGCACTTTCCTTAGCAGAGGTCTCAGCCTCCCCACAGCACCCTGGGAGACTCGCCTGGCCCCCTCCCCTCAGGGCCTGTTGGGCTGGAACCCCACGCGCTGTGGTTCCTGCCGCCTCTGACTGACAACTGATGTGTGGGCTCTGATTCCTTGGCCCGGGGGCCCCTTGGAGAAGGGCCTGGAACTGTTGTAGGGTGGTACCACTGTCCTAGGGAGAGAGGGTGGCACTGCAGCTGGGCGCCCAGCCCTGGCCCAGCGCCTGTATTGTTTCTGTGTGGGTGACCTAGGAAGTTCGGCCTCTCTGACATCAGGAAAGGGCCAGACAGACCAGGCTGCAAGAATCTGTGTCTTGGTCAGAGCATTCAGCCCCAAAGCGGGATTTACTGGAAGGAACTGGAAGGACATGGGCAGCTCTGGGCCTCAGGGGCCAGCACTGAGTTGCTAATGCCACCAGATCACCACCTCTCTCTCCAGCTGGGTGTCTGAGTCCCTCCCTCTTGTTCCCTGTACACAAGTGGGAATGTCATTGATGGCATCCTTTGGGGCGACTGGAATTGAAAAGCTTCTCTCACCCAGCTTCAATTTTTTAAAAAAGCCTATAAGTGACTTCTTAGCCAGTTACTGCAGCCACACAATGAGTCCCCTAGAAGACCCTGTGGCTGGACGTAGGTCCCATAGATGTGGCCCCTGGCAGGTTCTTTAAGAGATGGACAGCTCCACAGACACATCTGCCGAGACTTAGGGAGCCTCGTGGGACTCCCCAGGCCTGCCAGAGTGTCCCCATCTCTGACGTGGCCTTACTTGGTCCAGGTGGACTGAGTTCCCCATTCCTGCCCCATGCCTGCTCTCTACAGTGTGGAAGGCACCGGGCAATTCTACGGCTAGTGAGCAGCTTCGTGGAGCGCATCTTCCTGGCTATGCCCTCCTGTGCTCAGGTGGCCACGGAGCTGGGCTACCTCTACATCCTGCAGAACCAAGAGAAGGAGGCAGCTCTGTGGTACTTGGAGGCCACGAAGCTGGGAGAGAACAGTATGGCTGCACTGACAGGTCTGTGCAGGCTGGGCAGGGCAGGGTGCAGTGGGTGGCGAGCAGGCTGTGGTCTGTGGGCATTCTCCGGAGTGTGTGGGCTGGGGGAGTGGCGTGTGAGGCTGCCTTCCTATGAATCCCTACACAGCGCCATGGCCTCCCCTCTGCAGACCTCTCTGGGTGGGTCCCTGAGCGGGGAGGCTGCCACACATAGGAGTTTCAGTAGTTTTACTTCCCTATCTGTCCAGATGCTTTTGTCCTTTATGCAAATGTCCGATGGAAGTAGGGAAGGACTCAGCCTGCTGGAAAACCAGGAGCCCTATTTTCTTTTTTCTCTTTTATTTTTCTCTTCACCTGTTTTCACTTTACATTTTTTAAAGCCTTGCTTCCACGGTTTCTGTGAATTCTGAACCAGCAGCTGAGGAGCTGTGTGGTCCAGTGTTCACGGCAGCTGGTTCTTGGCCTGGCTTCAGGGAGCTGTGTATCTGGGGCAGTCACTCCCCTCTCAGTAAAATGCAGTTGTCAGAGTAATTGGTCTTGACTTTTGGTTCAACATGTCAAGCTGGCCCCTTGGAACCATCCTTCTCCTGTATCCCTAACTCCCACAAAAATAATGACAGACATTTTAAAGACATCATGAGTCTATTACAGCCCTAGAGTCAGAAAATTTTCTTCCGTGGACATGTAAGGCAAATAGTATCAAATGCATGGAAGTGCCGAGCAGTTCTGGTACCCGGTAAAGCAGTGAAGGCAGAGACTGGCTGGCCGAAGAAAGAAGTAGGCCAGCGTTCCCCAAAGAGCTCCAGGAAAAATAAGAATAGAGCTCAGAGCTGCCGGAAGCTAGGTGGGAAAGCATGCCAGGGGGCAGTTATCAAGGCAATGGCAGGATTATCAGAACTGCTCCTGGTTTAGAGCCTAGAATTAAGGAGGGTTTTATTTGGCACTAGGGCAGAAGGGTGAAGACCAATGCCCCAGATGACTTCCCAGCACCAGCAAGGCCCTGGAGAACACAAACCCTGGGTGCTCAGCACCCAGGGCAAAATCCCCTAGCATGAGCCCTGCCAGGCTGAGTCCTTCCCACTTCCTCATTTCAGGGAGAGCCCCAGCGGCCAGGCAGGGACATGCACTGGTCAGAAGGCCTGTCCTGCTCACCGTCCTAGAGTCACCGTCGTATCTGGCCTGTCTGGGAAAATCAGTGACCTTAACAATTGGGAAATCTGCCCAGCTACTAATAGTCACCAGTCCAGTCCTGAGTTTATAAATCTCGCAGTCTGAAGGGCAAAAAGAAGTCCCAATATATACAGACATTTTCCCCTAAAGCACCTTCTGTGTCTGAGGACACTGTTGTTGTCAGTAAGGGCATGCTGCTCTGAAGAAGGTACAGAGAACAAAAAAGAGTTGCCAGAAATTAAAAACATTACGGCAAAGTAAAAAATTCCTCGGACAGGTCAAATATTGGGACAGCTAGAATTGAAAACCAAGATGGTGCTGAGGAGAACAATCAGGATCAAACCAGAATGGTCAGTAAACCAGAATGGTCAGCAAATATTTCCCTCCCGATATCAAAACATATCACAAAGCCATAGTAATTAAGTCAGCTGGAAGCCAGTTCTGGCTGAAATAAACAGATAGATAAACAGGGCATAGCAAGGCTGATTTCAAACAGATAGGCTGTCCAGTAACTCCTGGCTGGACACCTGGCTTTCCATTACGAAAACCGTGAAGGCCAGTCCTCCTCTAGCACCACATTCCAGGTGAAGTAAATATTTACTATTTTGTTTTGTTTTGTTTTGCCTTGGCTTTTCTTCAGTATGTGCCCTACTCTACCACTGAGCTCCCTTAAATATTTTTAAACGTAAAAACTGAGGGCTGGGGATGTAGCTCACTGGCAGAGTCTCCTGTCTGGCAAGCACAAGGTCCTGAGTTTGATTCCTGGTACCAATAAATAAACAAATAAATTAAATGTAGGTTTCCTAGGGATTCTAAATCTGACTGAAAACTCAGAAGCTATAAAGGCAAATATTTCACCTTTTTGTCTAAAAATTTGAATCTACTACATGGCAAAAAAATTATAAAAACAGTTAAAACTAAAGGAAAATGTTTTCAATAAATGGTTCATGATCTTTATATATAAAGGGGCAAAAAAATCACATGAATGCAGGGCATGGTGGTGCACACCTATAATCCCAGCACTCAGGAGGCTGAGGCAGGGGGATGATTGCAAGTTTGAGACCAGCTTGGGCTACAAAGTGAGCTCAAGTCCAGCCTGAGCTGCATAGCGAGACCCTGTCTCAAAAAGACAAAAAAAAAAAAATTTTTTTTTAATTAAAGAATGAAGGGGTAGATTTGTATGAAGAATGTTTATAAGGTGGAAACAGCAAGTTCTAGGATGGTGTATAGGTAGAGTCCCTTTATGTTTAAAAAGCAATTGGTATGCTCATATGTGTACGTAAAAATGTGGATTTTGTTTGCTGTGGCTGTGGGAATGCAAGGCAGGACCACTACCACTGATGACACACCCGAGCTGTGTGATGTGTTTGTATACATTAATATCATCAGTACTTAGGTAAATGTTTGGAGGAACAGACCCCAGATTATGAACAGTTGTGGCCGCTAGAGAGATGCCAGAGTATGAGCTAGGGCTGTTTTTCAATACTGCCTTAGGGTTTCAAGTCTCCCTGTTGAGTGTGTGAAGGTGTCAGAACAGATCCCCTGCCCAGGACCCCTTCCTGCCCGTCTCCTGTGCCCATTGACCTGGTGGGCGCTGGCTCTGCTTCTGAGCTGGCTGCTCATCTCTACTCAATCCTGCGAACAGGGACCATCTGGTGCCACATCTTGAGAGATGAGCTGGAGGAGGCCGAGCACCAGCTGGAGTTCCTGAAGGAGGTGCAACAGTCCCTGGGGAGGTCTGAGGTCAGAGCTCCCTGGAGAGTGGATTGCTCTAGCGCCCTGTCTCTCACTGTCCTCCCTGGGTCCCATGGCAGGGACCTCTGTTTTGCCCGACTGACTCTGCTTATACTGGTGTTGGCTCTGAGACTCTCTCCTGCAGGTGCTGGTTTTCCTCCAAGCCCTTCTGGCATCTAAGAAGCACAAGGGAGAACAGGAGGTCACAGCGCTCCTGAGGGAGGCGGCAGAGCTTCACTTCTCAAGCATTCAGGGCCTGCCCCTGGGCCCCGAGTACCTGGAAAAGCTGGACCCCCCCTTCCTGGTCTGCATTGCCAAGGAGTATTTGCAGTTCTGCCCCAAGCAGGTTAGGGGAGGTCCACCCTCCCTGTCCTGTGTCACCGGGCTGGGCTGCGTGTGGAACAGCTGGGGAGCCCAGTGTTTGTCACACTTGAGCATACAGGGCAGGGGTCCCTGGGGTAGTTCCGGTGCAGACTCTGATGTCCTGACTCTAAAGCCCAGAGCCCTGCGTCTCTAACAAGGCACTGGCCCTGCCCCCTGCCTGTACTGCAACGAGAATGTGGCTCCCTTTTCCGGAAGGCTTCTAAGAACTGTGTTAGTCTCCACTTACCTGTCCTGCTTTCCCAGTCAGTCGGGATTCCTTGTGAGCAAGGATCACAGTTTTACAAGTGTTAATATCCCCCCAGCACCCTGTAATAAATGAGTCAGTCAACAAATACTGATTGAGGGTATTACTGTGTGCCAGACACCATGCTCGGTGCCAAGGACAGTGGGCAGAACAAAGTCCGCATTCTCCGGGCCCGTGCTCCAGCACTGGGTGGTACAGAGGGAAGAGAGACCACAGCGTGGCAGAAAGGAAAATTCCTGCACTGACAGTGTCTTCTGAGGGCTGTGGGTGCCTCTGTGGCTGTGGATAAAGCACCCAGCCAGTCCCTCATGTCCCCACAGCCCCGGGCGCCAGGCCAGCTCGTGTCTCCGCTCCTTAAACAGGCTGCAGTGATCTTGAGTCCGGTGGTGAAGGCAGCCCCTGCCTTGATGGAACCCCTGTACGTAATGGGTCAGGTCAAGTATCTCTCAGGTAGGTTCCCAGGTGGGCCTCAGTCTGCCTACACCGTGGTGTCCCCAGCTTCCCTCCCGCGCTCACCTACACAGCAGGCACAAGTACCCCTGGCTGCACCTGCACTCCCTTCAGCCTCCAGTCTCCTGGTAGCCTTCCTGCTCCCCCTGGCCAGCAGGGGTCTCTCCCATCCGGGCCTCTTTCCGATTACTTCCCTGATCTGTGCAGGTAAGAGTCACTGAGCTTCCAGGATGGGAGCTGGCATCCCAGTCAGGGAAAACATAAGCACACAGTATTTGTCACAGCAGTCAGGCTATGGAGGACACTAAGGCAGGGAAGGCAGCGGAGGTGGAGGTCTCAGCGTTAAAAAGGTTGTGAGAGCCAGATACAGTAGTGCACATCTGCAGTCTCAGCACTCTGGGAGGCTGGGGCAGGAGGATTGCAAATTCAAGGTCAGCCAGGGCAATTTAGCAACTTAGTGAGACCCTGTCTCAGATTTTCAAAAAATTAAAGAGTGCTACAGATGTAGCTCATATAAAAGTGCTCATGTGAAGGCTCTGAAGTTCAATCCCCAGTAGTACAGAAAGGAACAAAAAAGGTCAGGGATGCATGGGGAGGAGAGAGGCCAGATCGTGAGGCTTATCAGAGCCTGCAGGGCTCCCTGTGGGTGCTGCCTTGATCTCCTGAGCAGCCCTCCCCTGGAGGTTCTCCCGATGCAGGATGCAGCCTTTCACTCCGTCCTGAGAATCCAGCCCAGCTCTGGTGACCTGGGGCCATCCAAGGGTCCAGAACACAGTAGTGTGGCTACACATTTGCCCTCGGGCACCACTCACATCTCAGTCCACTGAGAGCTCTGTTTCACCCCAGTCCTCCCTGTGTCCATCTAGGTCCAGGGTTACCCACATTGTCCAGCTTTTCTAGGTTCAAGGCCAGTTAGGGAGGGCTCCCTGAGTTGTGCTAGCAGCTGCTAGCAGGTTGGGGCCAAAGTCTGTAGGTGCTTAGGTTGCTATGGTGATGTTTCCACCTTTCCATAGCATGCACGGAGGAAGCAGGGACTTTGGGACCCAGAAGCAGGCACACCCCACTCACCAAGTTATGGATCCCAAGCTGGACTATTGTGGGAACCTGACTGCAGAGGAAGGAGGCTCCCCTACACTCTCACCATACCGCTAGGCTATCACCACCACCCTGTAAGCACCAACCTGGCCTCAGGAGGCCCCAGGTATCAGAACACCCCTCCCCCAGAGGATCAGGAGCCCAGGGGACTTGGATTTAAATACAGAATGTGTCCCTTGGAGCTGAGCAGCTTATGTCACTGGAGCCCTAGACCCACATCTAAAAGACAAGGATCAGGGCTAAGGGCATACCTGGTGGTAGAATTGGCATGCCTGAGGCACTGGGTTAGCCCCAGCACTACCAAAAAAGAAAAATAATTAAAAATAAGCTGTGCGTGCTGGGGACTTAGCTCAGTTGCACAGCGCCTGCCTGGCTAGTGCCAGGTGGTGAGTTCGATTCCCAGTACCAGGAAAAAAAAAAAAAAAAAAAAAGAACTGGGTATAATGGTTCATGCCTGTAATCTCAGCACTCACCAGGCTGAGGCAGGAGTAGTTCAAAGCCATCCTGGGCTACCTAGTGAGTTCAAGGCCAGCCTAAATTACAGAGGGAGACCCTGTCTCAAAACAACCCAGAAAATAAATAAAATAAAAATGAAAGACAAGAATCTTAATACCAACCTCACAGATGTTTAATCAATCTTTCTGTAGATGTTTAATCAGACTTTCTGAAGTGCTTTTCATGTGTTGAACATAGAAAGATACTTTGTAAATTGTGACTATTCTATTGCTGATGTTATTGGGTTTTGCTTTATGCTTAGATGGAGGAATTAAGGCTTAAGCATTTCCTGGAGCTTGCAGATGGAATGGCAGCAGAGTGACTTACCAGCTCCTTGCGGGTTATAGGGACAAGGTGGTGTCACACTAGGGTTTGAGTGTCCTGACTTTTGTCTGGGTCAGGGCAACAGTGTGTAGTTTCAATGCTAGAACAGGAACAGAACTGGTTACAATGGCCAGCACAGGTGATTTTGATGAACTGTCCTTGGAAAACCCATTGTGCCTCTCCCTTTTGGGGCCCAGGGATCCCTGAGGAGGAGCCCAGGGTGGAGGTTTCTCTGTGATCTGCAGGCGAGCTGGAGAATGCGCAGAGCACTGTGCAGCGCTGCCTGGAGCTGGACCCCACCTCCACGGATGCCCACCTGCTCATGGCACAGATCTACCTGGCACAGGGCAACTTTGCCATGTGCTCCCACTGCTTAGAGCTGGGCGTCAGCCACAACTTCCAGGTGGGGGTTCTCTGGGCCTGGTGACCCACTCAACACCCCAGAGCCCGGCGGGCTGCAGCCCCCACTGGCCCCACCAGCCCTTAGACCTGAGGCTGCTGCAGGCAGGGGCAGCTCCCCATTCCCCAGCTCCTCTCCTGGGGCTGCTGTGAGTGGCAGCTGCAGTGAGCTGGACCCCACGTGCTGCTGTGTTCTTCCCAGGTCAGAGACCACCCACTGTACCACTTGATCAAGGCCAGGGCCCTCAACAAGTCCGGGGACTATCAGGAGGCCATAAAAACACTGAAAATGATCATGAAACTGCCCACCCTCAAGGCAGAAGAAAGCAGGAAGACCCGCAGTCCCTCCATGCAGCCCAGCGAGCGGGTGTCCATCCTCCTGGAGCTGGTAGATGCCCTCCGGCTGAACGGGGAGCTGGTAAGAAGTGCCACACTCCCTTCCTTTGGGACTGGGCCAGGTTGGCCCAGAAACCAGCTCTTTGATGTTTACCACGCAGTACTGTTATTTGAGCTCTTCCTCCTTTGGGAACCTATCTCTCTCCTGCCTAGAAGACCGCAGTGGCTCTCTTTGCCCTCAAGATGAGTCCTGGGTCCTCCATGATGTGGCCTTGCCCACTTCACTGTCCACATGAAATTGTAGGGAGGCAGAGCACACAGGCCCACCAGGGTCACGACCAGTGGTTGTGTAGATTGGGCATCGTGCAAGTCTAGTGGGTGCTAATCGCAGCCTTTACAAGGGTATCCCCTTGAGCTTTGCAGTATGCAAAACTCAACTGTTTGAGGTAGCACCAAGGCCTTGGAAGATCTGGCTGGAGAGAGGCAGAAAGCACCCAGCTATCCTTAGTGAGAACCTGGGACTAAGGCCCATGGGAGCTGCACACTGCCTCTGCACACTGCTTTGGCCTCCCAGCCTCTGGCCTCCCTTGTTTCATGATGTCGAGAAGACAGGAGGACATTAAAAAATGAGTGCAGAAGGCCCTTTGGGATAGCTGTCGTATATGAAAGCAATAAAGGACACTAAAATGGATTAACTCAAAAGTGACAGAGTTAACACTTCCAAAAAACCTACTTGTAGATAGAGTCCAGCCAACCTAAACATGAAATAAAACTGGAGCCATAATAGGATAAGAATTAAATCCTATTGAACACAAAACCAATCTAAATAAATCTACTTACATCTGAATAACTAGTAATTTTTACTCTAAGCCAGGATAATAGCTAAATTCTTGAAGTAAAATGCATTAAATTTAAAATAGCAGTAATTTCACTATAATACCACATGCAAAAGTTCAAGAGAAGAGAGGACTGGAAACGAAATGGGGAGTAGTGTACACTAACTTCTCTCATCTCTAGAGGGGAGGGCCTGAGATAAGTTTATGTGAAATATTCCATGGTAGAAAGATGACTATGAAGAGAAATGAAAAGAGACTACTTCCACCAAATTCATCAAGAGTTAGCCAAAAATAAGGAAGTAAGGTCACAGGTCCAAGGCAGAAATAAAGCAAACCACAAACAGCATATAAAAATGAAAATGAAATAAGTTGACAAAAATCCAAAAACATACATCTATGATATTGAAATGAAGTAAATATGCCTATTAAACAAAAAGGACTTTCCGTAATGGTTTAACCAAACAAGCAGGGCCAGTGATATAGCTCAGCGGCACAAGTGCCTGCCTGGCAAGCGCAAGATCCTAAGTTTGATTCCCCATACCCAAAAACAAAAAAATAAAATAAAAAAGCAAACAAAAAAACAGTGGAACCTACTCCAAAAAACCAAAAGGCCCAGAATAAGAGCAAGAAGATGGAATCAGTGTAGCAACCAACACAACAAGCCAACAGCAAGCAGAGACAGAAACCTCAGCTTCTGGTAAGGTTGAATTCAAGGCAAAACAAAACACCAAGAGGGACAGAATGACCAAATTGATTTTTGTATGCCCATCACCAGAACATTAAGATATCTTTGGCCAAAATGGGGAAGTACCAGGAGGTGAGCACACAGTTCTCACACAGGAGGGAATGGTGAAGCTCCTGAAGTGCTGAAGAGTAGCTGGTTCAGGGGAGGTCCCGTGTCCCTGAGCTTCCTGGGCCCCTTCTCCTGCCACTGAGAGTCATTGGCAATAACTCTGAGAAGTCGATCTCCTGCCTGCCTCCAAAGCTTCTTCAAAAGCTGACTGGGCTAGAGTTTTTTGGTTTTTGTTTTTGTCATCATTTTTGTTTTTGAGGTACTGAAGGTTGAACCCAGGGCCTTCACAATGAGCTATAGGGGCTGGGGATTTAGCTCAGCGGCACAGCGCCTGCCTGGCAAGCACAAGGTCATGAGTTTGATTCCTGGTACCAGAAAAAAACAAAACAAAACAAAAAAAACCAATGAGCTACATTCCCAGCCCTTTTTTATTATTTCAAGACAGGGTCTTGCCAAGGCACTAAGTTGCTTGGGTTGAGTTCCAACTTGGGATTCTCCTGCCTCAACATCCCAGAGTGCTGGGATTACCAGGCATGTGTCACCATGCCCAGCTCCCAGAGAAGGTGGTAAGTGTTGTCAGGCCCCCTGTAGTGCATGTTACTCAATAAAAGGTCTGCTTCATTCTTGTGATTTAGCATGAGGCCACCAAGGTCATGCAGGACGCCATCAACGAGTTCAGTGGCACAGCAGAGGAGATCTGCATCACCATTGCCAACGTAGACCTGGCCCTGAGCAAGGGCAACGTGGACCTGGCCCTGAGTATGCTGAGGGACATCACACCCAAGCAGCCCTGCTACACTGAAGCCAAGGAGAAGATGGCCAGCATCTACCTGCAGAGTCGCAAAGACACCTACCTCTACATTGGATGCTACCGGTAAGCTCCAGGGGCAGCTCAGGGACACTGATGGTATCTCAGATTGTTCTTCTTCAGTTTGTGAAGACCAGTTCCAAGCTGGGTCTCCAGGATGTGTCCTCAGAGCGCCTCTGGCCGAAGGATGAAATTTCCCATAAGTCAGTGCACCTGCCCATGGATGTGTTCTAAAGACACAGAACTGAGTCGTCCCCGGCTCTGCATGCCTCCCTGCCCCCAGCATGCCTGGGAGCCCATAGGCCCAGCCCCTGAGGAGCTGCTGAGGGAACCATAGAGTACACTCCCACCCCAGGCCCCTGCTCTGCCCCTCCTTGGGGAGGTGTCCAGTGACTTGGGTGTGACCAGTGTCAGGTCACTGAGGATGGACAACCTCAAGGTGTTGTCTCTGTATGATTTGATAGTGAGACCTAAAGGACACCTTTTCAGTCTCTTTATTCAGGAAAAAGTCCCTGTAGGCAGGTTCCGGTGGGGTTCAGGGAGTAGGGGAAGCTCTCTAGCAGTGGAAAATGAGTAAGCAGGAGGGTGGCATGGCCAGATTGGAGTTTTAGGAAGAGAAGTGTAGGGCTAGGGGTGTAGCTCAGTGGTAGAGCACTTGCCTAGCATGCGGAAGACCCTGGGTTCAATCTCCAGTGAAATAGGAAAAGACAGAGAGCAGGTGGCTGCCTCAGGGAGGGGGCTTTGGAGGGGGTTGAGGGGAAGGCTCTGCCATGGTCTACACAAGGGAGGAGAGTGGCAGCCAGCACTGTGCATCACATACACTGGGCTCTCCAACTACTGGATGATGAGTGAATGTCAACCAGAATAAGCGGGAAAGAAGCAAAGGGTGGATCCAGGAACGTGAGGGGCACACAGGCCTGAGGCAATCTTCCGGTCTCTCCTGCAGTGAGCTCTGTGAGCATCTGCCGGGTCCCCACACCAGCCTGCTCTTGGGTGATGCTTTCATGAACATTCAGGAGGTGAGAGGCTCACAGCCTTGCCACACGGCCCCCAGCCTCACTTCTCCAGCGGGAGATGAGAGAAAGACCCATGGCTACTCCCCCCACCAGCCCGAGAAGGCCCTGGAGGTCTACGATGAGGCCTATAAGAAGAATCCACACGACGCCTCCCTGGTCAGCAGAATTGGGCAAGCATATGTGAAGACACACCAGTACTCCAAGGTCAGGTTGGCCTGGGTGGGCAGGGTGGGCATAGGCCAGCCAGGGAGGTGGACGAGGGCTCATGTGTGGTGCTGTGGCTAGGAGGAGAGCGGCTATACTTGTACCCCAGCTCCCTGCTAAATGGGGTAACAAGGGATGAACTCAGCAACTGCCCCCTGCTCTCACATCTGCTCAGGCGCAGGCTGGAGCCCTGTGCCAGCTGAAGGACTGTCTCGATGGAGGGCTTTGAGGGGTGGGTGCTGGGGCGAGCATGGTGTCAGGCCCTGGGGAGCAGGTGCAGACCTGAGGCCAATGTTTCCTGTTCACGAGAAGGCAATTAATTATTATGAGGCTGCTCAGAAGATTAGCGGGCAGGACTTTCTGTGCTGCGATCTAGCTGAACTGCTCCTGAAGTTAAAGAAGTTCAACAAAGCAGAAAAGGTTTTGAAGCAGGCGCTGGAACGTGACTTTGGTGAGGCAGCATTCCAGATGCATCTAGCATCTGGGGCAGGCACACTGTCCCCCATGCCCATGTCTCTCCCCAAGCAGCTGGGGACCTGCTTTCCAGGAGCCCGGAGCACTAATCTGAGTTTCTTTTTGGCAGTTAAAGACATCCCATCCATGATGAATGATGTTAAGTGCTTGCTTTTGCTGGCAAAGGTTTACAAGAGCTATAAAAAAGAAGAGGTGTTGGAGACTTTGAACAAGGTACTTGACGTGTGAACTCATGGTCTTTATCAGCCATTTCCTGATGGCGGCTGAGACAGGGAAGGAGAGGGCCGCAGGTCTGAAAGGCCAGATGCCTTCATCAAGACAGGACCCCGATTCCAACTCTGAACTTCACCTTCTGTTCATTTCCCCGTGCTTGTTCATCCGTGATGCTGCCCCAGAGAGCGCAGAGCTGGGTGACAGAAGTAACACCCCTCAAGGGTGATGGTGGGAATGGTGATGGCAGTGCTAGGAGTTCTGTGCAAGACTCTTCTCGTTCTTTAAGTTCTGTGGTCCCTTGGGATAAACACTGTGGTATTCCTAACAGATAAAATTCACAGAAGTCAAGATATATGCCCAAGATCAAGTGCAGATGTCCATGACTTAGGATTTCATAACTTAATAACAATAGGAAAGTAATATGTATGCAGTGGAAATTGTACTTCCTGGGCCACCGATGTGGGGTACTGTACACTCTTAGGATGCTGAGTAATGACAGTTAACCACACTTCCCAGTAAGCCACTCCATCTCAGAAGTAAACAACTGATACTCTACAGCAGTGATGATGAACCTTTTAGAGCTCTCAGTGATACAAACAACCCTCTGCGGTGCGCATGTGACAGGTTCGCCATCACTGTTCTTCACAGGAGGTTAGGTGTATTAAACGCTTTTTCGACTTACCATATCTTCAATTTATAAAGGGTTTAGCTGTGTATCACCCCATCACAAGTCAAGGAGTATCTGTACTAACAAGGGGCCTTTTGCTGGGGATATAGCTCAGCAGCATAAGTGCTTGCCTGGCAAACCTGAGGACATGAGTTCAATTCCCAGTACAAAAAAAAAAACAAGGGAGGGAGGCCTTTTGGTCAAGGTCAAATGTGTACTAACAAGGAATGGAGCTGAGATCTGAACCCGGCCTGGCCTGGCGCAACCCAAGCTTTCTCCATACTGGGCTACCCCTGGCCTTTGACCATTCCTGGCACACGTTCCTCACTTCTTCCACCTAGAAACAAGTCTCCCACTTGTTCTTGGGGTGCATGCCCTGGTTTTGGAAGGAGAGCCCACTTTCAGATGACTTAAGATGATATTTTCCCTTGTTGACCACTGAATCCCCACTTCTCTGTTTTGCCCTGGGGAAGCTGAGTGCTGCTCATGTCCTCTGTGCTGGCTGTGGAATGGTGCTTTCCACTGGGGGTTCTTAACCTACCTTTCTGTGTCGGGATATTAGTTGGGGCTGCCTCAAATTTCCAACAGGGCAGTACATCCATAACAGATGCATCCATCAAAACACAGCCTGTTTTGAGCACCTAGTGTGTGCTTGATCCAGCTGGTAGGACCACTAAAACAAGTCATATTCGGGACCTCAGGCATGATAGAGACAGGTACACAGCTAAGGACAATAGTGTTTTGTTTGAGTGCCTTTGCTTCTGCTCCTGCCCTGGGGACAGTGCCAGCTTACTTTCTGTATACTCAGCAAATGGCCTTCCCTGTCCAAAGTGACCTAGCTTTTCTCAAGGTCACTTAAGATCCCCTTTCTAGCCGGGTGTTGTGGTGCACGCCTGTAATCCCTGCACTTGGGAGACTGAGGCAGGAGGATCATTGTGAGTTCGAGACCAGCCTGGTCTACAAAGTGAGCTCAAGCCCCGCCTGAACTACATAGTAAGACCCTGTCTCAAAAAGACCAAAAAAAAAAAAAAATCCCTTTTCTAACATTGCTGGCTCTGAAGTAAGAGTGCAGGTCTTTCTGCGAACTGGCATGTCAGGGCTGGGTTTCTGACCCTGGCTTTATTGGTTTCCCAAGGCCTTGAACCTCCAGTCTCGGATACTGAAGCGGGTTCCACTGGAGCAACCAGAAATGCTCCCCTCCCAGAAGCAACTGGCAGCCTCCATCTGCATGTTGTTCGGGGAGTTCTACTTGGCAGAGAAGAACTATGCCAGGGCAGTGCAATCTTACAAGGACGCCCTCTCCTACTCGCCTACTGACAATAAGGTGGGTGGCCCTAAGCCAGCGCTCTGCTCCTTTGTAGGCATGGAGCTTTGCTGAGCTCCCTGACCAGGCGCAAAGGCCAGGTTCTTTTCTACTGAGCCATAGGTACAAAGGGCACAACAGCCTCTGGGGCGAGGAGCCTGTGCCAGCTGACCCTGGGCCCTCCCCCCAGTGGCCCTTGGAGCAAGGTACTTTGGCCATCATTGGTGGTGTGGAGAAGAAGTTGCTGAAAGTCATGTTCATCTGGTATTTTCAGGTCCTCCTTAGAGATAGGGAGAGAGTGAGGGTTGCAGCTGCCAGGGTTACTTGGGCCAGAAGCCCAAGCTAAGCCTCCAAGCAGGTGTAGAGTCATGAGGGAAGTGTGTTTCCAGCTGAGGGAACAGTAGCTGGCATCTGCGCAGAGACTGTGGAGAGCTTAGCAACAGAGCTATTCACTCACTCCATAGTCGCTCACTTAAAGGTACTTAGTGGGTGTCAGTTACTGTTCTAGTCCCTGGAGACACCGTGGGGAGAGACATGTTCCCTGTCCCCAGGTTTCCTGAGGGCAAGGGGGGGGCAAATGAGAGCGTAGGTGGTTCTGATGCCATGCCATCCAAGCCTGCCTGTGGGTGCAGGGAGCGACAGGAGCGCAGAGGAAAGTACCTGCCCTAGAGTCGGGAGCGTCCCCAGGGAATGAGTCTGGAGCTCAGGCTGAAGGATGAGTATCTGTCAGTCAGGCCCAGCATGCAGTGGGCAGTTAGGAAAACCAGTGCTGAGGCCGGCACATGGGAGGGAGGCAGGCCGAGACGGTTCTGAAGGAGTTGAGGGCATAGCTGATAGCAGTGGAATGAGGGGGACGCTGTCAAAGACATCTCAGGGTCCTCCCGAAGTGTTCCTCCCTACAGGTGGTGCTGGAGCTGGCACACCTCTCCCTGCTCCAGGGACACCTGGACTTGTGTGAGCAGCACCTTGCTGTCCTCCTGCAAACAGATCAGACCCACGAGACTGCCTCCGTGGTAAGAGGTCCCAAGATGCCTGTCCTGGCCTCCCCAGGGCCCTGTGACCAGATGCAGGCTACTTCCTGGCTCTGTAACCATAACCACTGCTGCCTTGCCGACCCACTTCCCAGGGGCTTTCTGGCAGAGAAACCCGAGTGGGCACCTGTTGCAGGCTCTGCCCTGAAGTAGGCAGGGTGGGCTGGCCAGCAGGGGGCAGCAGCGACCACCTGGCCAGTCCCAGGGCCTGGGTGTGGTTAATTTTCTCTAGGGGGAAGCCACACCCACTGTAGGTGAATAGCTCCTCCCAGGCCTGCTCCTTAGCCTCTTCCAAGGTGACCCTAAGGGCAGAGGTCAGCCTCCACCCTAGGGGACTAAAGAACCCTGTGTGATCCTCATCTTCTGGTGAGGACAGGGTGCTCAGGCTTTTCCCTGGCAGCTTCCCTCCAGGCTGAGGGAGGCGCCTCTCCTCGGAAGCCTTGTCCTGCCTCCCTGCTTACCACCCCCAGCTCTGCCAACACCCATCAAGCTGCCTCAGGAATTCCGGCCCCTGTGTGCTTTCTGATAGATGATGGCTGACTTGATGTTTAGAAAACAGAACTACGAATCGGCCATCAATCTCTACCACCAAGTTCTAGAGAAAGCACCAGGTAATTCAGCCAGCGGGCCTGCGGGCGCGGGCTCCCACCCAGCAAGGGCTGCCCTCCTGGAGCAGGGTGGACCCTCTCCCCTCCTTCCTGACTGGGCAGAGGAAGCCCCTTCCTCTCTGATTGTTCCCAGAGTGGCAGGAAACTGATAAAGCCCCAGTGGAACGTGCTGGCCCTTCCCTAGTCCAGGGGGCCAGTTCCTGGTCCCAGACACTTGGCACTGGACCCAAGACAGCCTGTCTGTCCCCAGATCCCAGCCAATGGGGGTCCACACAGTCCCCTTCTGAGGTCATGGCCATTTGGAGGGCCTGGAAATTCTCCCCTGCTGGGCAGCTCCATTCCCACTCGGTGCAGCATAAGATCACCCCTTCTTACTGGGGCTCAGGCCAGACCACAGGCCCCCAGCAGAGTCTGCCCTGGGTCTAGCAAGTCACTGGATTAGGAATCCTGGTCCTGGAGCCAGGCTGCATGGGCCTGAATGCTCGTAAACAGTGTATGTAACCTTTGGCAGATTATTTCACTGCTCTATGCTCAGTGTTGTCATCTGTGAAACAGGAACAGTAAGAATACCTACTTCATCCTGTAGCTAATATATAGGAAAGTACCTAGTACCAGGAAAACTGAAAGTGGTGTGTGAGCGCTAATTGCTAATATTTCTATTTTAAGCATTATTAGCATTCATTCAACATTGCAGAGCAGTTGAGGCACTGGAGCAGGAATGCGCCTGCTCAGCCCAGTTGGGCAGTGTCTCCTGGTTCCTCCTAGAGGCTCAGCACCCCAGCTTCTCTCCCCGTCAGGCCCCCCTGCCACCCCTGCCCGATGCAGCTATTGGCCTTCACACCCTGGAGATCTCTGCTCTCTCATTTTAGACAATTTTTTGGTATTGGATAAATTAATTGATCTGCTACGAAGAAGTGGCAAACTTGATGAGGCTCCTACCTTCTTTCAATTGGCCAAGAAGATGTCCAGCCGGGTACCTATGGAGCCAGGCTTCAACTACTGCAGAGGCATCTACTGCTGGTGAGTTGAGTGTGGATGTGGTGAGGGCAGCTGTGTGCAACAGGCCCTCCCTAGTAAACATGGAAAGATCTTGTTTAGGCCAACAGGAGGAAAAAGAAGGAGCCAAGAGCTAGGAGACTGGCCACCCAGCCCCGGTTCTATGCAGACTCACACGCAGCTCCTGTGTCTCCCTGTCCTCTCTGGGCCTGCTTCCCTGATGCTCGGTTTCCACCACTGCAGGCACGTAGGACAGCCCAACCAAGCCTTGAAGTTCCTAAACAAAGCCCGCAAGGACATCACTTGGGGTCAGAAGGCCAACTACTACATGGTGCACATCTGTCTGAATCCAGACAATGAGATCATGGGTGGAGAGGCGTTTGAGAACCAGCTGACTAAGAGCAAGTGAGGCTCTGCGAGAAGCAGGGCAGGAACCTGTGGGAGGCAGGGGGCACCTGCAACCTCTAGGAGAGCCAGCTAGGGCTGCCTCTGAAGCCTAGGGCTCTGCCTCTAGGAAGGAATCTGAGCAGCAGGGCATACGCACTGCGGAGAAGCTGCTGCGTGACTTCTACCCGCTCTCGGCCTTTGGGCAGACCCAGCTGCGGCTGCTGCAGAGCCTCTGCCTGCTGGCCACCAGGGAGAAGGCCAACGTGGAGGCTGCACTAGGAGCCTTCCTCGAGATTGCACAGGCTGAGGTTTGCCAGCTGGGCTGGGGGGTGGGGGGCTGGTATCAACATGGAAGATGACAGCAGCCAAGACACACCCACCCCCACTTCCCATCCCGTGTGTAGAAGGACAGCGTCCCCGCCTTGCTGGGCATGGCACAGGCCTGCGTGCTGCTGAAGCAGATCCCCAAGGCGCGCACACAGCTGAAGCGCCTGGCCAAGGCCCCATGGACACTGGCCGAGGCTGAGGACCTGGAGAAGAGCTGGCTCCTGCTGGCCGACATCTACAGCTCAGGCGGCAAGTTCGACCTCGCCTCAGAGCTCCTGCGCCGCTGCATCCAGTACAACAAGGCGAGGTGGCACCCCGGCTCCGTGGGTGGGGAGGGCAATCGGGGCTCAGGAGGGTCAAGACAGCCAGGAGGGTGCACTGGCTGTGGGGACAGAGGGGATGCAGAGTAGAAACCAGACCGGAGGAAGTAGGGTGAAAGGTATGTGTGGGCGACAGCCCAGGACTGGAACTGGGGGCATGGGTGACAGCGCAAGGCAGGAGAGGGGAACACAGAAGGACAGAGGGTGACAGGAGCAGCTTGTGGGGTTGAGGGGAGTCCAGGGGCTCAGTCCAGGTGGGCAGAGGGATGTCTGCTGGATTGGAGCATGTCACTAACAGGCTTTACCGGAAGTTGTACCAGCCTGTACTGAGCTAACAGGAGCTCGCTCAGTGTGCACAGTTAGCCCCTTGCAAAGTGAGTGTGTCCCTAAGTCCCTGTGCGGTTTGGGTTAATGTGGCTCACAACCATCCCTCAATCCCACCTGTGTCCACTCTGGCTCTGGGTGGTGGTGGCTTCCCCTTGGCAGGGGCACTGATCAGCTTTCCCTGCAGTCCTGCTACAAGGCCTATGAGTACATGGGCTTCATCATGGAGAAGGAGCAGTCCTACAAGGACGCAGCCACCAACTACGAGCTGGCCTGGAAGTACAGCCATCAGGCCAACCCCGCCATCGGTAAGGCAGCCAGCCAAGGTGCCCATAGCAGGTATGGGAGGTAGATCAGCACAGGAGCCCACTCTGACTCCAGAAATCAAGGATCTTGGGGGAACCAAAGGGGTTCTCGCCTCCTCTGGGTGCTACCGTCTATCATCTCCTTATCCCTGGTCAGGTTTCAAACTTGCTTTCAACTACTTGAAGGACAAGAAATTTGTGGAAGCCATAGAAGTCTGCCACAAAGTAAGCCACCAGCAGTGGCAGGGAGGTGTGGTGGCTGGGACCCCTGCCTGATGCTGCAGGCTCATCTTTTCTCTGCACCAGGTCCTCAGGGAGCACCCCAGCTACCCCAAGATCAGAGAAGAAATTTTGGAAAAAGCTCGAAGGTCCTTGAGGCCCTAGCTATCGCCAGAAGGGACTGTGGCTGGTGGAAACCATTGACCTACAGCAGTCTCATGGAGGGGCAGGAAGTGGGTTAGTGAAGGAATTTAGTAAATGACATATTCTTCCATGTTTCTACATCACATGTGGTTTATTTGGAATTGTGCCTCACCTGGGCTGAGGGGCGTCCTAGAGCTTTACATTTTCAAGGCACAAGAAGTAGTTTTGCTCCAAAGAAGACATCAGCTGGCTTGGCTTCTGCTGGGCTTCTTGTATACTTTATTTTTGAGACAGGCTGGCCTCAAACTCTCTGCAGTCCTGCCTCAGCCTCCCAAGTGCTGGGATTACAGGTGTGTACTACCATGTCTCGCTCCTTGGCTACTTCTAATAGGCCCCACTTAAGGGGAGACAAGGGAACAGAGGGGAACAAAGCGTGGTGGGGATCCCAGCAGTAAAAAGAAAAAAAAACAAAAACCACCCTATAGGAATTTCTAAATGCCTCCATCTGCCATTGAGTCCCATCACCCTGGAGCCAGAGAAGCAACTGCTTCTTCTTGCCATGCTACCTGCCAAGTCTCAGGAGGACCAGCTGCAGGACCCAGAGCTGTGGTAGTGTAAGAGAGAGCCACTGCCCCCCCCCTTGTACATACATCCTGTCCCCACCCTGCCCTTCACATCTCCACCTGGGCCTAACCAGTTTAGGACAAATATAATTATGCTTTCCTGAAATGGAAGTATATTCCAAGAAAAAACATTCCTCACTTTGCTTTTGTAAAAGTCATTGGCCAAGTAATTCATCCTCCAGGAGCCCTTTCAGTGGTCTGGGAGGCAATGTGAGCAGTTCTTACTCTGAGGAATGCTCCTCCTGCTTGGCAAGGGGCTGACAGAGGTCACCTCTGCGCACTCTCACTACTGCTCTTCCTGTCTTTCGGGATGGCAGTCATGGGTCACCACACCCTCAGAACTCTAACTGGGAGTCAGGGGACCTCAGATCCTCCCCCAAGTGACTTTCCCAAGCCCCCTCCCTTCTTGGTCTCAGTGTCCCCATGTGGAGCAGGAAATTAGCCCAGATCTATTTCCAAATCGTGGGACAACTCTCTGCCAGTGAGAGACAGCAAATATTTTATTTTTCTGTGGTGCTGGGATACAACCCAGCCATAAGATTAGTGTGTTTATACATTGTTTGTATGACAGAGAAGGGTGACTAGCAAACCAAACTCCTGAATTCATAGGTGCTGTTCCATGGGGCCTGACTATTAAGCATATAATTGATATAATTGATTTAAAGAAAAATACTTAAGAGTGGATAGAATGCAGATATGGGAGAAACTTTGAACTGTCCAGTGACTAAGGTTTGGAACAATGAACAGATGTCCTTTTCAGAAGAGCGTGAGCGGCTAAGCCTTGTTTTTGTTACACACTGTTAATCACGTGCGTGCCTCTTGGTATGAGCTGGCGATCTGGAATGCTTTCCCCAGGTTACTGCCATCTTCCCAGTCTTTTTCTATAACCTGCATTCCAACCCATTTTGTTGGGATAGGTTGACTGAGAAGCAGTCTATGTAAAAGGATTATGCATTAATCATGTTTTTGTTGCTAGAAAACCCAAGTTGTCTTCATTTATCTGAAAAACAGTGACAACCCCAAGAATTGATCCTGTAGTTCTAACAGCTGAGGAAACGAAGAATCAAGAAGCAAGCAGCTTATCTTCTCTGGGCTGAGTCCACGCAGTAGGAGCCTGTAGGGGTTTCTAGCTGGGACCTGAGCTGCTGAGGGTTGCCCTGAGGATTATCAGAGCAGACTCTCTGGGCCCTTGGATCATGCCTGCTGAGCCATCTCTGCAAGGGATCTCCAGGTACCAGGGAAGAGGGAGGAGACAGGACCACTAATACATATGGATTCTCCATTGTCAGAAGTAAGGCCAATCGGTGTGATGACACAAGCCTACAATTCCAGCACTCGAAAGGCTAAGGCAGGAGAATCGCTGAGTTTGAGGGCAGTCTGGCCTACAAAGTAAGTTTTAGGCTAGTCTGAAGTGCCTAGTGAAACCCTCTCAAAAAGACAAAAAAGAAAAAAAAAAATTCTGAGTGGTGTCTAGGGACAGCTATCCTATCACCAGACACCAAGGCATGAGTACTCTAATGGCCACTGCTGTGGTCACGGGATCCTGCCCAAGCTTGCGCAGAGGCAAGAGATAAATACCTAAAGGGTGACCGGACTGTAGCAGAAACAGGAAAACAGAAGTTATACACATGGGCTCAGGGCTTGCATGTTCCAGGCACTCTTCTCAGTGCATTGTGTATGTGACCCAAGTGAGCCTATGAGGTTCGTGTTATTTGCACGGTATTGAGGAACTCGGGCACAGAGCAGATGATCTGCCTAAGTCATCTTTCAAGGTAGTAAGAGAGCTGGGATCTGAACCTGTCATTCTGGGTCCTCGCTCAGGAGCACACCCAGGACAGCTCATCAGAAGTAGAGGGCCTGAGCACTGATAGGGTCTCTTGCTGGTCCCCTCTCCCAGCACCTTCACAAATCATCATTCTTTGGAAGGTGGGGCTGCTTCCTCAGACTTCCAGACCAGGGCTTTCCAGGGCAGGCTACAGCCTGCTCCTCTGGACCGCAGCCCACTTGGCCTGCCAGGGACAGGTCAGACAGGTCTGGCTGGTGCAGATGGATGAAGTCCTGCAGCTTCCCGTGCTCAAGTCCCCAGGGACCACAGTTGCTGAGCTACTACTAGGCCAGGCCTTCCCCAGCCACATCCCACTGCCCTGCCCTGCCCTGGTGGGACCTATGAGGCTCAGCGTGTCCACAGGAAGGAAGGTGCCCTTACGCTCTAAGGGCAGAGGGCCCCATCTCAGGGGAGCACTCACTGCTGCTCCCTTCTGCTACCCCAGATGACCACTGGGTAGGAGCGGGTTAATCCAGAGAATTGCTCCATCTGCCCAGCCAGCCTCTCCACTGGCTTCCTGCCTCCAAGCTGACTGGCCTGCCTGGAAGGAGGCCCAACCTGCTGTGCCCCTCCTAGCCCACAACAGCTTCAGTGTCCATGCTGCCCTGCAGGGGCTGTCCTCCCTACCTCACCCACCTCCCAGGGATGTGCCCTGTTCCCCATCCCACTGATGCGGACCACACTGTTAAAAATAGAGCCTCTTTATTGGTACCTGTCAGGTCAGGTACAATGTGTTCCCAGACACCCAGGCTGGCAAGGCCTCCTGGGCAAGGGGCAGCCCAGAGCCTGGGTTTCTTGGCACAGACACACAGAGAAATGAATAAATAATAGTTCTGATACTTAGGAACAATATAAAAATGGATGCAAAATTCAGTACAAGCAAAGGGCATGAGAGCCCTAAAGAGCAACCCTCGCCAAGTGGCCTGTGGTGCCCAGAAAGCCTGAGACGGTGGTCTGGGGCACACAGCAGCCCTGAGGCAAGCCCAGTTCCCTGGGGCCCTGGCTTCCACCTCCTTTGTCCTGGGCTGGAAATAAAGGCTGTGGCCTCTGGAGAAGGGAGATGGCCAGAGGGCAGGAAGCAGGGGGGCTGAACAGGGCAGAAGGGGTTTTGGTCACAGCCGGTCAGCCCAGCCCCGCCTGCTCAGCCATCCAGGAGCCAGGCAGCTGACAGAGGAGGCCACAGGACGCAGATCCCACCTCTGGTCCACATCAAAGCCCAGGCAGAGAAGGGCAGGGTGCAGGACAAAAGGGGCCTCACCCCAACACTGCCCACCAGTGACAGCTGCCTCAGTCTCCCAATAAATTATGGAAATAAATTACAGTCTTCACAGTCCAGAGATCAGCCACTCATGGGTCTGGGGCTCAGAGCAAACAAGAAGCCACCAGTGGCTGATTTTAGCCTTGTCTTGCCGTCTTTGGGTGAGGAACATCACAGAGACCCAGAGGGGTCTGCACAGCTCCAGCAGAGCTGCATCTTCTCTCCTGGTACAGCTGCAAAGGTGGAAGAGCCCTGGGGGGGGACAAGGTGGCCAAACAGCGAATGCCCCTCCCCACCCTCCAGCACAGAAGAGTCAATAAATATAAATAAATTCAGTGTTTTGTGAAACCAGGAATGCCTGTGGCTGGGCCAGCCAGTGGGAGACTGATACATACAGACCTTGGGGAGCCCCAAAATCACAAAACAGCAGCACTGGGGCTCCTGGGGAAGGGAAAAGGCACCGTAGTCCTCACACCAGCACAGGCTCCAGAGATGCTGGGGCAGTGTCCTCAAACTGGCTGTCAATAAAAGGAGCCAGGACCTCAGTGGCTGGCTCAGACAAGCCCATGAGGGACTCCAGGAAGCACGTGCTGGCATCTACAGGTGGAGAGAGGCCAGGCACAGGGCAGTGTGGGGCCTCGAGGCTGTCCAGGCTGGCAGACACTTTCTCGGAGGTGTAGTGAGGCCCCAGACTATAATCCGGCAAAGCCTGGAGCAGCTCAAAGGAGTCACAGGAAGATAAGCTGAGGTCCACTGAACTGCTCTGGCCAGCATACACGCTGGGTGGCACTGAGGTGCCAGGGAGGCTGCCTTCTCTGAACTCTTTAAGGCCACCATTTTGGAAGCAGCTGGCATCAAGGTTGGCATTTTCATCCAGGATGCCAGACATGAGGTTGGAGCCAGAGTAGCTGTGGGTCCAGCTGGCCAGCCCAACAGGGTCTCCAGTACCAAAGATGTCAGCTGGGTGGAAGCAGCTGAGGTTGTCCAGGTTCCCCACACCCACTCCATCCTCTTCCTCCTCCCCACCGAGGTCGGAGTCACTGAAGCTCAGGATACGCGCCAGGCTGTCATCATCCATGCCAGGTTGGAAACCAGGGCCAGGCAGGCCTGAGGGGATGGGGCAGTCTGGGGCCTCACTGGTGCCCGACAATGAAGACGTGGTAGAAGAATCGGTCATGTCGCTGCTGCAGCTGTTGTCTCCGAGCTCACTGCTCACAGGAGTCTTGGCCAGTGGGAACAAGGAGACCAGGGCCTGCTCGCTGGGGCTGGGTGGGCTGCCCTGTGCAGGGGCCTCCAGCTCCCCAGGGCTCTCTGCACCCTGCTCCAGCTGCAGGCGGGTGAGGGTGTGGATGAAATGGGTCTGCACTCGTGCTTGGTTGAACTCCACACGGCCTTTGGGGTTCTCACAGCCCTCCTTGCAGCAGCCACAGGGAAAGGCAGTGTGGTCCATCTACAGAGAAAGCACAGGTGGAAGTGAGGACTCTGCAAAGTGGGACAACCCAGCAGGCTCAGGCTCCCCAGCCCAGACCACCTGCCACCTCACCTGGCACTTGATGCCCGCCAGGCTGCAGCTGCAGGTCTCAGGGTCGCAGACCTTATCACAGTGACAACCACAGTCCTCCCGGGACTGCCGCAGTGCTTGCAGCTCCCGCTTCTCCTCACGGTCAATTCTTCGCACACCTGAAGCCCGCAGCAGAGCCCGCCGCTGTCGAGCTGGGTAAGGCTGCAGGAAGTTCATCTCCTCCAGCCGGCCACTTGCCACAGCCACTGCCAAGTCCTCCTCCACCGAAGCATCATCGATGGCGTCTGCTGTGAGGGGCTGGCCAGCCTCGGTCTCTGGAAGCCCAGCTGCAGAAAGCTACACCCATGGGAGAGATGTGAGAAGCAGACATGGAACAGGCTCTCCCTAGTGTCCACTATGTGCTGAGCACTGTGGTACGTCCATGAGCACAGCCAGAACATTGCCTCATGGCAGCTGCAAAGATAAGTCCTCCTGTGTCACCTCCCCTTCCCAGGCAGACAGAGCAACCCCATTCCCTCTCGTCAGATGGACTCAGGCTCCGAACCCGGGGTGCCCTGACGGCCTCCAGCCAACAGCCTCACATGTCTGCAGATGAAGTGGGCCAGGGGTGCCACGGCTGTTTCCCCGCACTCACAGCTAGCACCCAGAGATTAGGACTTCAGGAGCTGCTGGGGAAAGGGGTCACCCTACCTTTCTGTGCAGCGCCTCAAGCTTCTCCTCCTTCAAGCGCTGACGGAGTTTCTCTCGCCGCACCCGGGCTTGCTCCTGGGTAAACTCGGCCAAGGAGAAGCGACGGCAGGCGCTGTGGCGAGGGGCCATGCCCAGAGTACAGCCTCCTCGGCTGGGCACACTGGTGAAACCCTGGCACCTCGGGAAGTAGAAGACGGTGATGCCATCGAAGGCTACACGGCCCGTGCGTTCCCGAGGAGCCTGCTTCAGAATGGATAGTGCTGGAAGCAGAGAAGGGATAGGGGACCAGTTAAACTCCAGGAAGAGCACACAGCCATCTTTCCTCACAGGTCCCCATACCTCTCCACACCTTGGCTGAGACAGAGCTGCACTCTGAAGGTGGCCTGGCTAGGGTCAGACCTGGAGAACCCATGTCAACCATGCTTATTGGCATTTCCCAGTCCAAATGACAGGATCTGCAAGATGAAGCATCTTTTCCACCCTCATCAGCCATACAGGTCCCTGTATAGCTTTCTAGTTATTAATTATATTTATATGATACTAGAGACAAGAATCATTTGCTTTTTTGTGTTTTTTTTTTTTTTTTGAGACAGGGTCTCCCTATGCAGTTCAGGCTGGCCTTGAGCTCACTTTGTAGCCCAGGCTGGTCTCGAACTCACAACGATCCTCCTGCCTCAGCCTCCTGAGTACTGGGGTTACAGGTGTGTGCCATCACGCCCAGCTCTAAGAATAATTTGTTTAAGCTATCTATATGCAATGATTTTTGTCTTTCACTTTTGTTATGGCTTTTCACAAATTTATTTTTTGTGTCTGGTGCCGGCAACTGAACCCAAAAGCTACATTCACAACCCACACAGGATTCAGGTGAAGGGCAGTACTGGAGATTGAACCCAGGGCCTCAGCACTGAGCTACACCCCAGGCCCTTTTTTAAAAAAAATTTTATTTTGAGACATCTCACTGAGTCACTGAAGCTGGGCTTGAACTTGGAATCTTCCTGTTTCAGCCTCCCAAAGTGCCGTGATTACAGGTTATGTACGTACCACATGCTCAGCTCCACACCATTTTTAAGGATTGCATAATCAAAAATACCTATTTATCTTTTCCTTTTATAGGTTGTGTTTTACAACAGGCTTATAACGGCTTTCTCTTTATAAGTCACTGATTATATTCTGATTACTAAACTATATATATTGATACATATACCAATCTATATCAGTGTATTTTTACAAACTGGTCAAATGTTGGCAATTTTCTACATAGTAAACTCCAGGCCAGTGCACTGTACAGTGAGACCCTGTCTCAAAAAAAAAAAAAAAGAATTAGGGCCAGGGATATAGCTCAGTGGCAGTGCCTTGCCTGGCAAGCATGAGGTCCTGAGTTCGATTTCTGGTACCCCCCAAAAACCACAAAAAACAAAAAAAGCAAAAAAAAAAACAGGCGTGGCGGCACACGCCTGTAATCCCAGCACTCAGGGGGCTGAGGCAGGAGGATCACAGGTTCGAGGCCAGCCTGGGCTGCAAAGTGAGCTCAAGGCCATCCTATACTGCATGATGAGACCCTTTCTCAAAAAGAAAAAAAAAAAGAATTAAATGGGAAAAAAACTCTTTCTTGGTGCATGCAGGCAAAGCACTTTGACAGAGAGTCAGGCCTGGCAGGGATGTGTGGAGTGTGGCCCCAGCCCAGTCTGGAGGCGGCTGGGGTGTACACTGGAGAAACGAAAGTGCAACAGAAGGGAGGGAGGGGCAGGGCAGGAGGGGCCACTCCAAGGAGCAGTACCCAGACATCACCATTCCCAAGGTCAACAGCGACTCAGCTGGGCCCAAGTGTCCCTGGACAGGTGGCATAGTGACCACTCTATCACGATGGAGCAATAGACCCTACAGAGAGCTCCAGCTCCAGCACCTGATCTAAAGAGGCTGAAATGGCTCTGACCAGGGCCTCCTAACTTCATTTTTCAGGAAGGAAGACAGAGGGTGGTGGGGCACCCAGGGGAGAGGACTCACGGGTGAAACTCCGGGGGCTGCAGAAGTCCTGGTCAGGCAGGGGTGTCTGACCCCAGGGGCTGCCCTCATCGGAGTCCCAGGCAGGGGAGACGGAAGAGTTTGGAGAGCAGGAGTGAGACAGCGAGGTAGAAGAGGAGAATGACGAAGAGTCCTCTTCCAGCTGGTCAAATTTCCTCTTCAGTGGTCCAGTCATGGTGGGACAGGGGTCCTCCAGGAGCTGGAGACAGATAGCCTGGAACAGGATTGAGACAGTTCTGAGTAGGTGTCCGGTAGCAACAACAAGTTGACCTCCGGCAGGAGGCAGGCTCCTGGCCATGACCACCGCTCTCCCTACTGGCCCTCCCTAGTATCAGACCCTCAGCTCCAGCTAAGAGCACTAGGTGCAGCAACAAGACAGCACCCCTCTCTCTCCTGACTATGTGCAAATCACATCCCGGCACCTTCAACTCCCAAAACCTCTGCCAGGGACTTCCCAGGAAACCTCCAAGCACATTCCCCACTACCTCCTACCACACACCCACACACAGTCCATGCCGGTAAGGGCAGGAGGCAGACAGACAGACAGATGGACCAGCAGACCTCACTCAGCCTGGCCCGCTCATTCCACGACAAGAATCCTGAGAGCTGACTCACTGGAAGGGTGATTCACACTGCTCACATCTGTGTGCCTTTGCGGTCGCCTGCACACCACACAGTCCTCAGATGGTGGCTCGGCTTTCTCCCCACTCCACACCCCTGCACAGACCCGCCACTTTGCCCACCTTGCCAGACAGCAGCAGCTGATTCCAGGCAGGCTCACCAGGCACCTACTCTGGGGAACAGGCAGGCTTTGGGGTAGGCCCTGTTCCCGGACAGGGCAGGACTTTCCTGTGCTCCTCCCTGCCTGTGGTGGAGCTTCTCAGACTTTCCCTCAGAAACCCCCACATGCACAGGGGAGAAAAGTCCCCTGCCTCCAGGCTTAACTGTGACCAGAGCCCTTTATCTGATCTTGAAATTTACCCCTGTCTTGCCTACTACTACCAATCTAATATCTGCACTTGTTTGAATTAACCTCACATGGAAGTTATTTTTCCCCTTAAAAAAAAAAAAACTCAAGCCAGGTGTGGTGTTCTGTAATTCCAGAACTCTGAGAGGCTAAGGGATCCTAAGTTCAAACTCAGCCTGGGCCACTTAGTAAGACTGTCTTTAAAAAAAAAAAAAAAAAAAAAAAACTCTAATCATGCAACTACCTACCTAAGATGATGCCCCCCGTCTCTCTGGTCTATAGCTTCTAACTCGTAGCACTCTAGAAAAAGCCTCAGGATCAGCCCTCTGAGGATCTCAGCCCTCAGCAGAATGCAGATAGCAACTCCAAAGCCAGGCTGGCCTCATCTGAGTGCAGGGGCCCCCGGGCTCCTTCCCTAAATGCTTCAGCATGTAAGTCCCTGCGGGCCTTGAGAACCCCAAGGATTCCATCTTGAGGGCTGAGCAGAGCTACCTTGGCTCTGTGGCTGGGTAGCTACCCCGAGCACTGGATCTCCGCTGGACCGCCACGTGGTAGCCAGGAGGAAGGGGAAAGGAGAGGCCCCAGAGCTGGGGAGCCCTTCCCCCTCTGCCAGCACAGGAAACAGACAACAGGAAAAACCAACCAGAAAGCTGTCCCCACTCAGGTGTCCTTTCCAAATATCCCATCTCCATCCTCCCACAGAGTCCCTGAATCCTGAGGGATGTGCTATCAACAGATTAACTGGGTAAAATCCACCCTAGGAACAGCCTCCCCCAAGCAGGCAGGAGAGAAAGAAGAAAGCCTCCCATCTTAGCACCCCCTCCCCAGGCCTGGGGGAAGAGGCTGCACAGGTGTTTCCGGGGGTAGTTCTCATGCTTGGCACCCCCTTCCCAGGGTCAAACCACAAACAAAAACAACTCAGCTCCCAGCTGACCTATGGGCTCTCCCAAGAGGCGAAGGATTCATGATCTGGAGTCAGGCGCCCGCACGCACACGTGCACACACACACAGATACTCAGACATAGGAAACACACAACATGGACAAACAACACACATCCTGTCCCCACCACAATCCCATGGGGGACCCCATGCTGCTCCCCATTTCCAATGCCATATATAGGGTGAGAATTCCTAAGTATGCCCAGTCGGGGACCCCTATTGACCAACTGCCCACTCTGCATGTCTGCCTGGCCATCCCCTGGAAACATACAATTCCACAGGCCCCAAACTGAACCCCTTGTCTCTGTTCCCCACCCCCCATGCCATCTGTTCCTCTTCCTGTGTTTCCTATCTTAGTAACAGCACTGCCACCCACCCAGTTGCTCAAGCCAGAAACCTGCAGCCATCCTCAACTCCTTCCTCTCCCTCCATCTAAATCCAGACACTCAGTCCTGGTTGTTCACATTCATCATTTAATCCCCCCAGGTGAGGCACAGACTTAGGCACAGACTTAGTAGGTATCTTGGAGGCCACCCAGTGTTGTATTAGAACCTCAGCTCCATAACAGACTGCCTGCACTGCAACCCGCAGCTTGGCTATTAACCAGCTGGGTGATCTGCGCAAGTTCCTTAACACCTGTGTCCCCAATTCTTCGTTTTAAAACCTCAGAGGGCTGAGAGTTTACATGAATACCTGTTGAGTTCTCTGACAGCAGTAAAGTGTTCTGCAAATGTGTAGAAAAAGAATGAGCTCCCAGATACACACAACATAGATGAATCTCACAGACATTATGTTGGGTGAAAAAAAAAAAACTTCAAGAAAAGGCAAAATCAAGGGATGATGACACAAATCAGAACAGTGGTTCCCAGGGGAAGGGGCACAAAATGGGGAGAGTCATGAGGGAATTTTTTTTTGGTGGGGGGGCTAAGGAGTGGAAATGCTCTATGTTGCTCTGGGTGGTGGTTACAAGAGTGCCTAAAACTAAAAATTCATCTAGATGTGCATGTAAGATTCATATACTTGGGGCGGGGATTTTGTTCAGTGGCACAGCGCCTGCCCGGCAAGCACAAGGTCATGAGTTCGATTCTTGGTACGGGGGGGGGGGGGACACAACAAAAAAAAACAGATTCATATACTTTATGCCTTCCATATAGGTCACCATCAATTTTAAAGTTTGGGGCTGGGGGTACAATAGCTCAATGGTAGAGCGCTTACTTGCCTAGTACGTATGAAGATGTGGATGAGACACTTATCACCATGTAAAAAAAAAGTTCATTACCCTTCCGTTTCTGTCCCCACTGGGGATGAGGTATAGTGCTTGTCTAGCATGTACCAAGGCTGTGAGTTCAATCCCCAGGACTGCCAGAAAACACCCCAAAACCCTCTAATGAATCAATGGATCCATGCATTGATCGTTAAAAAACTGTTAATACAAAAAGAAAATTAAACATGTTTCTGTCCCTATCACTGCACCTCCTGTCCCCTGCCTCTGCTCCTGCCCCCTCCCTCCAGCTGTTCTTTACTCTGCAGTCAGAATGATCATATTAAGCCAAACATCCACCTGCCATTCCTATGCTTAGAACAGCTCCCCAGGGGAAGCTAGCCTTTAGGCTCCAGATTTCCGAGCAGCTGAAACAGGCCTGACCACTGCTTCCCCTCCAAACTCATCTCAAAGGACTCCACACACCTCTCTCCATGCTTCAGCTAACTTGCAGTTTTCCTAATGGCACCACCCCTGCCCACCTCTTGGCCTTTGCACAAACTAAAACCTAGCTTCATTCTTTTCTTTTTTGTGTGTGTTTTTGAGACAGGGTCTTGCTGTGCAGTTCAGGCCAGCCATGAGCTCACTTTGTAGCCCAGGCTGGTCTCGAACTCACAATGATCCTCCTGCCTCGGCCTCCCAAATGCTGGGATTATAGGTGTGCGCCACCACACCCGCTTCAGCCTCATTCTTTTCAGTCACCTCCACAGAGACATTCTGAGTCCTCCACTCCATACCCCTGCCTCTCTGGGCTTATAAAATTCCTACATTGAACCCCAATCCCCAGTGTGATGGTGTGCAGAGGCAGGGCCTTTGGGAGGTGAAAAGATCATGAATAGGAGTAGGGCCTTTATAAGAGTCAGCCCCTTTCTCCACCACGTGAGGACAAGACAAGTGTCCATCTGCATACCAGGAAGGGACCCTTACCAGATAAGCACTTTGATCTTGGACACCCCCCACACACACACACCTCTAGAAATGTGAGATATAAACTTCTTTTGGTTAAGCCACCCACCCCATGTTTTTGTTATAGAAGCCCAAACTAAGAGATAGAGCTCCCAAAGAACCCTGGAATCTATCATAGCTTTATAGGACCACAGTACAGTGGCCTCATTGCCTGTCAACCTCACAACAAGGGTAGGGCAGCTCTGTCTAACCAAATATGCCTGTGCGTAGAACAGGGCCTGGCAGACAGTGCCTGACAAGGTCAGAAGCAGGCAGGCCAGCCTGCATCTCAAGTATCCCTGCAGAGGTATTTTTTATCACATAGGTCTCAACATCATCTTCTCTTGCTCCCGGCAGTTAATTTGGGGATGGGGTGGGGGGACACATACCTGCTCCCTGCCAGCCTGTACCAGAGGATTCCAGCAATACTCTCAAAAAGATGGCTCTTAGGGTAGGAGAGGAAGGTTCAAGGTTGCGGGCAGCACCAGTGCAAGCATCTCAGGAGAGTCCCCATTCCCCAAGAGCAAAGGAACTGAAATGTCAAGGGAGCAGGCTTAGGCCGACACCAGGGATCTGGGTCAGGGATGTACACAGAAGGAGACTTTAAGGTTGAGAGGGTTATAACCTCCAAAGCTGCACACAGGGAAAGAGTTACAAAGAGACTACAGTCCTGTTGCAGGTTTAGGTGATGAGTCTCTTAGGATCTACAGATCTGAAATCAAATGAGAAATGATCTCCTCCCTTTGTGATAAGGAAAGAGGGGAGAGCTCCTGGACCCACCTGGGGATCCAGTGGCTAACACAGGCAGAGGCAGGTGAGACAGAAAGACTCAGCCAGAGGAAGGAGAGGCCAAGGCAGAAAAGGGAATGAAAGATAGTGAAAGAGTCCAAGAAAAGTGTCAGACAGTGAGTCAGAGGGCGGGGGAGGGGCCCTCAGCAGCTACCCAAGAATCAAGATCTTGACCATGGCACTGTTCCCAGGGTGAGTACAGCCCCCTCCTAGGGTCCTGGAGGAAGGAAAAGCAATTCCCAGGAGCTGGCTCCAACAGAAATACCACACCCCTGAGGAGCCCCAGAGACAGGCACTGAATCAAAGAATACCA